TATAAAATGCTGGTACTATTTTCCTTTTCTGTCAAAATACTCAGCTATCCACTAACATGTTTTCATAAGGACAACTTGGCCTATGCCATTGCTAATAACTCAAAAACTGAATGGATGAAATTACTCTTATTTAATTAAATAATAAATATTAAATAAATAACAAATGAGAAAAGTATCTTGATGAAAAACCTTAGATCCAAATATAAAGGCTATTTAAAATTATATTTTAGTAATTAAAAATTAATGAAGTTGCTCTAAAAAATACTTACCCTTAGCTACCATAGCTGCAACGATTACTAGGGCAATTAAATAAAGGAAGGCAAATATCACAGCAGCAATGCACCATGGAGACACTGTTCAAAAAGAAAGAATTTGGCTAATGTGATCATGGAAACCAGATTCAGGAGTTGATATTAAAAAGAACTTTCACCAAGAATATTTAACCCAGTTGAATTGGTCTAAAATCTAAGCCCATGGGAGTACTGTGCTGTGGGAAAATATACTGTGGGGAGAAATTCTAAAAATTATTTTGCAGATTTAGGTGCATCCTGGGAAGATATGAACATTTTGATGTTGAGATAAGCTGTTTTTGGAATAACAAGTTGCCCTAGTAAATAACTCTTTCAAAGGCTATGAAGGAGCACTTCAGAAATCCTACTGTGGATTTAGTTCATTTTCCTCCTATTTTTTTTTTCTTTTTGAGACAAAGTCTCACTCTGTCTCCCAGGCTGTAGTGCAGTGGCATGATCTCAGCTCATTGCAACCTCCACCTCCCAGTTTCAAGCAATTCTCCTGCCTCAGCCTCCTGAGTAGCTAAGGTGACAGGTGCACACCATCATGGCTGGCTAATTTTTGTATTTTCAGTAGAGATGAGATTTCACCATGTTGGCCGGGTTGGTCTCAAACTCCTGACCTCAGGTGATCCACCTGCCTCAGCCTCCCAAAATGTTGGGATTACAAGCATGAGCCACCACACCCGGTCTCCCTCCCCTAATTTTTTTTTAAACTGTATCTTTCATCTTTGTAGTAGAATTTTAAGAACAAAACCCCAACTTTTGCTGTTGGTCAGGAAAGTATTCTGTGACCATTTTGATAAAAGTTCATTCATCATGAGGTATTTCACATGCTCCATTTGTTTGTAGACATATGGAAGCACTAAAAAGACACGTAACTTTTTCAAAATTAAAATACAAAACCCGGAGATTGCATGTGAAACATTCTTTTTCTGAGACCTTGGTACACCATTCTAAGTCATTGTGGCCATTGCTGCCTCATTGACCATCCTCATTTGCTCTTAACAGAGCACTGTAGGTTAGTATGACCCATTAAAAAGTGTGGGGACAAGAAATAAATCCTGATTCAAACATTAGTCCATGAATATTTGTTTTCAGGATTAGTTCATTAAGATATTTAAGCAAAAAAGTGAATCTAGAGAACCTAGAGTCTTAGCTTTTTTTTTACCTTTTGTTTTCAAAGTTTTAGTTATTTTTCCTTTCTGGACAATTGAAGAACGATGAACTTTGAGGTCTGAGTATGTTATACTTTCCTCAGAAAACTCTGAAAAATATAAAAAAATACATGCAACAACTATAATCCAGATACCTGTATATACACATGCCTATATGATACATAAACATATAATTAAATGGCATGTTATATGTTGTACAAATTGTCACATTTTATGCTCATAAAAAATTTTTAAATTGACTTCTTTTTTTTTTGCTTTGTGAAATGTGGTAAATTCTTAACTCTTTTTAAAAAATTCTTAGTTCCTTGATCTAGAGTATAGACACAACAATACAATAATCATTTATCGATATATTATAGAAATTAAGTGGATAGCATAGTGCTTGAAACATATCAAACACTCAATAAGTGTTTTTCTTTAGTAATAGTACTAATACAAGTAGTATAGAATAGTAATTCTAAGAATATAATGGGCGTTAGCATCTGCAGTAAAATTAGAAATAGAAGCAAGAGTAGAAATATTCAAATTCATTTAAATGCCTATTTCTGCCCCTTCTTATAGTTGAATTTAATCTTAATGAAAGGAGCATGAAAAGCAGTTTATCTAATTCTTACTAAATAAATTCTCTCAGCAGCATATTGCATGTACTCTTTCAGTACAAGTGAAGCAGAGTTCATAGACACCAAAAGTCAATAACATTCCCTTAAATAATATTAAACCTAGTGCAATTGTAAATATTTACTTACCAAAATATAATTTTCTAATATTTAAATCCTCTTTAATTAGAAAGCCTTTAACTCATTTATAAAGACAAAAGATTTTCAAATCCTCCTCTAAAAGCACCCGGTTATGAACTCATTATTTTAAATATTATTTACTCATCAAATGAACAGATTATTTAGTAATAACAGCAGTTATCTGGTTTTACCTGTATTTATTTCATGAAATGCCGGCGAAGGATGAAGATCATCAGAGAGGCTGGACAGTGCTAATGTCTCTGGTTCCATTGTTCAGATTAAATTGTAAGGGCCAATGATGAGCACAGGGTCAGAATGAGATGGGACCAAGGAAACAGACGTCTTAATATGCAACATCAGAGAGGATGTTTACACTAAGACTAATATGTAAACTCTGTTTTTGACTCAAGAAAATTAAAGATAATGTACTCCTATAAATTTGTTTTTTCTTTTATGTATGATGAACCACTTATTTCTACAGATAAAATTTTAAATGTTAACCATGAAGGTTTCCTCTTTACCTTAATTGCTATTAAAACAAATGAGAAAACAATAAAGACTAAATAATGTAATATACATAAATGGCATTGCATTTGAATGATTATAACAGGTACTGATTTTCAGAAATACCTTTTTTGTGATTATGAACATGCTCATTGTAAATGATTCAGTGAACACAACATACAACCCTATTCCCTCAATATAATCTCTAACATAATTATTCATAGCTTTGCCTAATTTTTCAAATGACCAACGGATGTTTTACTTTAAAAAGTAAAATAACTGGGCACAGTGGCTCAGGCCTGTAATCACAGCACTTTAGGAGGCTGGGGGTGGGCAGATCATGATGTCAGGAGTTTGAGACCAGCCTGGCCAACACGGCAAAGCCCATCTCTACTAAAAACACAAGACTGTCTAGAAAAAAAAAAGTAAAATAACTGTCAAATTAAATAATGAAAACAATTATTACTTATTTCTATAATAAAATTTATGAAGTCATCAAACATAGATGAGACAGGTTTGCAGGTATTTATGTGGATAATTTTCCATGATATATTAAGTGGAAAACAATAAAATTATAACATAATATGACTTTATATTTTGGTAGAAAAAAATTCTATAATTACATGTGTTTGTAATATAATAAGGTTATGTGTCTGACCTGATAAAATTGTAATCATTAACTTGTTAAATTTGTATTTTTCATATGTGGCTTTCTATTTTTGTGTTACTGTTCTGGTGAGCATAATTTATTTTTATCATTGAAAGGATTAAAGTGTGCGTATGTGAAATTTCTTTTATAGTCTAATGTGTGCTCTGAGACTTACACATCACAGTAACCACAGGTCTACCGCCCTCACCTTTGATGGATAGAAATAAACTTCATAACAAAAGCATATAATCTGATTGGGAGACTATGGAACATTGTTAGGTCTTAAGTTGTTTTGGAAGACACAGTGCTAATGTTTTGGAAGAGTACAAAGATGATGATCAACTTCAGACAATAATTCGAGTATACATGCATTAAATTCTAGAGTGAGTAATAAAATGATGAAAAGAAAGTATAATTTCAAAAATTATAGAAGAAAAAACAGACTGAGAAAAATAAGTTTATCTAAAAGAAGCTATAAAGGGGAATGCGGTGGAGAAGAGACATAAGATTAGGCAGGACAAGTAGAAAGCATACATTTATGTAAATTATAAAAAATCAGACATATCAACAGTAAAGATAAACTCTGTAAATGTTCCAGGGAAAAAATATAAAAATTATCACAAGGAGTTCTTAAAAATTTTAAAATATTACCGGTTATTTACAAAAGTTACATCTAGGCTGGGCGCGGTGGCTCAATCCTATAATCCCAGCACTTTGGGAGGCCAAGGCGGGTGGATCACGAGGTCAAGAGATCGAGACCATCCTGGTCAACAAGGTGAAACCCCGTCTCTACTAAAAAAAAATAAAAAATAAAAATTAGCTGGGTATGGTGGCACACGCCTGTAGACCCAGCTACTCGGGAGGCTGAGGCAGGAGAATTACTTGAACCCAAGAGGCGGAGGCTGCAGTGAGCCGAGATCGCGCTATTGCACTCCAACCTGGGTAACAAGAGCGAAACTCTACCTCAAAAAAAAAAAAAAAAAAAAAGTTACATCTAGTAGATAAGGATGTGAAATGGTTGAAAACAGATCAACAATTATATAATTCAAACATTAATCAAACTAAAATATCATAGCTCCTAATGTCTGACAAAACACACTTCAAGGAAAAATGTAGTAAGAAGATTTTTTTTTTTTTTTTTGAGATAGAGTCTTGCTCTGTTGCCAGGCTGGAGTGCAGTGGCACAATCTTGGCTCACTGCAACCTCCACCTCCTGGGTTCAAGCTATTCTTCCGCCTCAGCCTCCTGAGTAGCTGGGACCACAGGCGAGTGCCACCACACCCGGCTAATTTTTGTATTTTTAGTAGAGATGGGGTTTCACCATGTTGGCCAGGATGGTCTCGATCTCTTGACCTTGTGATCTGCCCGCCTCAGCCTCCCAAAGTTCTGGGATTACAGGCATGAGTCACCGCGCCCAGCTCAAGAAGATGGGTTTTTAAATAACAATAAAAGTTTCAATTCACAATTTTAGTATAGCCCTTTAACACAACTTCAAAATATAGCAAGGACTAAATGATATATATAGGGAGAAGGAATAGTAAACAAAACACAATCATTTGAATAAATTTTAACATACTCTGATATATACAAACAGACCCCCATAATTATATTTGGACAATATAAAGAAGATTTAAACAGCACAAAATAATAAATTTCCTTTATTGAATAAAGATGCTAATTTCTCTCATCCTATTTGTCTAAAAAAATATGTGTTTTTGTCTAATACATGAGGAAAAAGGTCGGAGATTGAGTGCTGTCTTGATTCATTTTCTGTCAGCATGTAGCCTGTATAGTTCCTTTTCTTCTGACTTCCATTTGCGCTGTTGGGAAATCAGTCGATAGAATAAATGCTGTTTATTTCCAGTCATTGTCTTTTCTCTCCTGGTTGTGTCTGGAAATTTATCATTGCTCCTGGTGTTCTTCAGTCTTTACTATGATGTGCTTATATGTGGATTTATTTATTGTTTCTTTTCAAAAATCTTGATTGATATTAATTAGACTTCTTAAATTTGTGGATTGATGTCTCATTATTCCTGGATTGGAAAAGTGAAAATCATTAATTCCTCAGAGAGTACATCAGCCTCTGTATTTGTGCTTTCTGAAATACTAACGAGGCATTTGTCTAAACTGCCTTACGTTTAATTTCCTTTTCATGCTGTCTTGTCTTCTTGTCTCTATGGGCTGTTTTGAAAAATGACTTCAGAAATGTCATTCAATTCATTAACTCTCAATCTGTGTCTAAGTAAACATTAAATGTATCCAATATATTACATTGTCTTTCAAAAAATTGTATTTAGTTCTTTTACAAATCAATAAATCTACATAGAATTTGTTGCTTTCTAAACACATTTCCAAATTTGTCTTATGTTCCCTTAACCACGGTAAATGTAGTTAATTTATATCATATGTCTGATTATTGAAGTGATGGTTGTTTTGCATCTTTTTCTTCTTCTTTTTTTTTTTTTTGAGACAGTCTCGCTCTGTTGCCCAGTGGGGAGTGCAGTGGCGTGGTCTCAGCTCACTGATCCACATGCCTTAGCCTCCCAAACTGCTGGGATTACAGGTGGGAGCCACAGCACCGAGCCATTGTTTTGTATCTTCTGCTGTCTTTTGTGCTCCTACCCGTTCTTTTGTAAGTGCTTGTTTGCTTGTATGCTTAGTTTTTTGTTTCTGGCTCTGAGCTTCTCATCTTTCTCACTAATTTATTCACGGTAAATCATTAAGCCTGGATGAAATGAGTTGTTCCATAGAATATTACAAATTAAGTTTTTATTTATTCCTGCTAGGTGACAAGAAATATGACTAATTTAGACTATTTTAAAATGAAATCTTGACCTGCTGATTTTTTGACTGGTGGTGGTGTTAATTCAGCCTGCAAATCCACATGATGTCTGGCTCCAGAGATACTATTTCAGGAAGAAAATGTTTCTTTCAACCATCAGAGGGAAGCTGATTTAGTTTAAGTTTACCTTATCCAAAGCATGTAATTAGGGTTAGGTGTGTGGGAATTGTTGAGATATACGAGAAACCAGGTATTCAAAGTTCACAGTTATAATGGAATGTTATTTTAGTCATACATCTAATATCAAGTGAGATAATATGCAAAACTGCATTTATATATTCTCCATTCTTTTTAAAATAAACTTTTATGATAATGAAAATGACCAATTAAATAAGAAATCAATTAAGATTTTTCCCTCTGACATATGACAAACATACAGGAAAGGACAGGAAACATATATGTAGAGATTGATGAATAATGACACAAGTTAGGTCAAAATAGATCTACCACCTCCCAGACTGTTTTCTACATTGTTTCTCCTTATTACAATGCTTCCTCCTAGAATTAACCATTCTTCTGATTTTCCCACTTCTTATGCATGTATTCTTAGACAGTAGGCTTCTTCGGCTTATTTAAATTTTATTTATATGAATAGAATCAAACCACTTTTTTTTGCATTGTTTTATTCTGTATTTGTTAGAGTTATCTATGTTGCTGTGGACAGCTACAGTTTACTTCTGCAGGTAATTTCTTTGTATGATATGCTCTCAATCAGCTTACTTGCTCTGCCTTTGATGGATATTTAATTGGTTTCTTTCTAGGACTACTATAAATAACCTTGCCTGTATTTCATAAATTATCATTTCACTATACTTATAATCTATATTTTAAATTGTCATATGTTTTCTGCTCTTGTGCTCTGTTTGTTTGGATATTTAGTGACTAGGTGTGTATATGGGTACAAATGGTTATAAATTTCTCTAGGGTAGCTTTTGACATTTTCCATTTTATCACAGCCTTTGATTCTCTTTATTCTTTTGGCCTTAGCTTAATTCTGTAGGAGAAATGGTTTAAGGGCAGTGATCAAAATTTGAAAATAACAACAAAACATCTTGGTATTAAAAATAAGAAAATTGGACAAAAAAAATAAGTAAAATGTTGGTCAATTGCCAGCGATAATCAAGGTGAAATTTGAGAGCCTGATAAGAATTAGCACCAGCAGTTTGACATCTATCATCAGAATATGCAATCTGGATACAGAAAAAGAGAAGATTAAGCTTTTTAAAAATTTTTTAAATTATTTTTTTCTGCATACTTAGTGACAAGAGAACATGAAATTTAATCTAGCTGCGTGCCACAGTTAATTAGGCATATGCAATGGAAAATAAGAAATGAATGACAATAAAATCATTCAGGTGACTCACCATTAGGTCTAGTTTTGTATGGTTAGGGCAAGACAGTAGCAACGAATGAGAAAATAAAAATCAAACCTGAATGATAATGAAGAAGAAATTAAGCAGAATGAATGAAATAAATACAAAAGACAAATGTTGGCCTCACAGGCCTTTTTCTGGTTTCTTTAGATATTTGATGTTCCAAAGGTAGAAATGCTTCTGATCTGTCTCAACCATGCACTGTACATGGAACTGTAGACTCACTAAGACTCATCCATTCTTCTGTATCCCCATTACTGATTCTAATTCTTGCACAAAATATTTAGAACTTTAATACATTCACTGAGATAAGAAAGGCAAGGAGGAAGTGGAAAAGGGAAAAGATGCCAGAGAGTGATGAAGACTGTGATACAGTTGTTAGAGCTTGGCTTCCAAGGGCACAGAATGTAGCAAAAAAGCATGGAGAATGGAGGTGAGGTGCAGTGTGAAAAACAGATGTTGAGAATCATGTCCCCACAGGAAGCCTGTGGTGGTAGAGTTGTGAAAGATCCACTGGGAACCCATCACACATCTTTATGAAATAAACTGTGTGTGAATGTTTCTTGTAGGTAAAAGGGGTCCAAATGAGAGCAGGGAATAACATGGACTCATGCTAGATTCTGTAGTAGGCTGAATAATGGCTCCCAGTATATCCAGGTTATAATCATTGGAAGCCGTGAATGTTACCTTACAGAGCAAGAGATACTTGGCAGAAGTGATGAAGATATTGAGGTCCTCGAGATTGGAGGATTATTTTGGATTATATAAGTAGGCTTAAAATGTAATCACAAGTATCCTTATAAAAGGGATCCAAAGGGAGATTTGAGTACAGAAAAGGAGAAGGCAGTGCAATCATTTGAGCAGAAGCTGGAATGACAAAACCGCAAGTGAGGAAATGCTGGCAGACATGAGAAGCTAAATGAGGAGAGGAACAGATTCAGCTCTACGGAATCTTTGATATTAACCCTATAAGACTTTTTGGACTCCAACCCTCTAAAACTGTAAGAATAATTTTTATGGTCTTTATCTACTAAATTTGTGCTTATTTGTTACAGCAGCAATAGCATACTAAGACAGCTTCTATGCATGAAGAGTGATGGGTGGGATATAGAGCTCTAACAGAAAATATGGGACACCTGGTTTGAGGGTGAGGAAGAATCAAAGCCACACAATACACAAAAGCAGGTTCATTGCCCACGTCAGAAGCTGTAGTTGCAGGGCTCCGTAGGAATGTATCCAAGAACTCCCTGAGATCCTCTCCCGAGACAAAGAAGTCATCCACACTGCCTTTTTCTGTGCTGATTTTCCCATCTGAGTTCAGTTGGAGAGAAAGGAAAAAGAAAATTTTAGCTTTGCATAAAATTCCAAAATTTTGTTATATGGATTTGGGAATTTGAATTGCTGAAATGACACGTTCCTGTGACTGAAAATAACTAAGAGACAATTATCTGAGAATTACTTACATAATTGGAGACGCCAGGGAAGCCGGTGAAGAACAAGACTACATACCCAGCTTAGAAGGAAACTGAGGGAAACTTTTGTCATAAACTTACACAGGCAGTATCTGAATTATTTTAATTGTTTTGTTTGCATAAATAGAATTCTGGAATCTTGAAAAACAAGAATTCTTATACAAATGTAAACCCTTTAATCAGAATTCTGTTAAAAATACCAATGACTGGCTGGGCGAGGTGGCTCATGCCTCTAATCCCAGCACTTTGGGAGGCTGAGGTGGGCGGATCACCTGAGGTCAGTAGTTCAAGACCAGCCTGGGCAACACGGTGAAACACCATCTCTATTAAAAACACAAAATTAGCTGGGTGTGATGGCACACGCCTATGATCCCAGCTACTCCTGAGGCTGAGGCAGGAGAATTGCTTGAATCTGGGAGGTGGAGGTTGTGGTGAGCCAAGATCGTGCCATTGCATTCCAGCCTGGGCAACAAGGGTGAAACTCTGTCTCAAAAAAACCACAAAAAACGAAAACAACAACAGCAACAACAACAAAAAACCAACCAATAACCACTAATCTCTTCTAGTTTTAATCTTCCGGTTTCTCATTTTTGTAAATTTGAGAATGAAGGACTCTGATGGTTATATGTCACTTTTCTGTTCATTATTTTTATAAAAATATAAATATTTGATGTCTCTAACATTGCCTATAATCTTGTGTAATGTCAGCATTATATAATAAAATACATTCTCCATAATGTTATAAATGTCAAATAAAAATATAATTACTATAAAGTTCATATATAGTATTATGTTTAAAACAGTATGCTACTTTATATTTTGACTTTAAGTTATTGGTCCTGTGGCTGAACTTTGGCTTCTTTATCTGTCGTAAGAAATATTGTGGGCATAAGTAATAACGTGGGTACAAAGTTAGAAGATGTGTTCAAGGAAGGCATCTCAAAGGAGGTGTCATTTGAGTTATGTCAAATGAGTGACATTTGACAATAGAGAGTCTCTAAAATATTTGAGCAAGGAACTGTTCTAATAGTGGACCATCTCTAAAACATAAGACCGAATGGTTTGTTTGAGAAATAGTGTAGCTAGATCAGAGGGAGGGATGGAGCAGAAATAGGGTAGAGAAAAAGACAGAGAAATTGTCAGGGAAACAAGAATGTAGTAGATATCATTCAAGGTAGGTTGATGTATTCGTGAATGTCCAGGCAGGAAAACAAATTCTGTGCCAAAGTCATTACATAGAGGGAAGTTAATACAGAAGGGTATTGTATTTACCAAGCAGTTGGAGAACTCTAAGAGTCAGCCAGGAGAAAGAAGATCGTTTAGATATGGACAAAACAGGAAGCAAG